CGACCCGGATGGGTCAGCGGGGGGGCCGGGGTTGTAGTCCAAAATTTGTGGGCCGACCTGAAACCGACTTTTTTTTCACGCGGGCCGTTAACGGGCTCATATGTTGACGGGTCGATCCTGCCCGGACCACCTGGATTGACACCCCTATCTCAATAACATCACTTGGCAATGATATCATTATGATTTAAAAACTATTTTGTTATCAGCCTTTTCTATCCATTTTCGTTATGTTTTACTATATATTTTAAATGATTCTCTACTTTGTTAAGATATTTTGTAGTCGAACTTGATTTTTTTATACTCATTAATTTGCATTGTGTTGCTCTTGAATTTGAACATGGATGGATAATCATTTTTTTATTTTGAATTTTTCATCACTCTCTAAGTTAACCTCTTGTAACGTGTAATGATCGAGACATACATCCTACATTAAGTCTCTCTTAACTTACAGATGACACAAAGCTAGTAATTGAGTAATAATCATGGCTAAGAGCATCTCCAAGAGACTCTCCATTTATAAAGAGTATTTTATACATAATACAAAACGTCTTTCAATGTAGAGAGTAATTTTTTTTTTATACACTCCAACTAGCTATCTATTTTGATTTTTTTTTTCAATGAACATTTATTGATTTCTTCTAATATTTTATTTAACATAATGATTTTATATATTAATGGCCAATTAAGTCAAATGTGAAGCTTAAACACTACATTTTCTCATATCATTTTACATACANTATATTATTCAAACTCCAATAATTAGATCATATCTAGTGCACCATAAAAGCCAATAAATCTATAATATATTCTTCTGACCTACCGTGTATGTGTGTGTGTGTGTGTGTATATATATATATATATATATATTTTATCTCCGTTTGAAATTCGATAGCATAAATGACTGTTTTGACCCTCTAATTATTCTCACTAACTTAAATCCCGTTTCTTAAATGGTCTTAAATGGTCGCTAGATACTGAGTTCATAATTTAACCGTTCAACAAAAAGTACTTAAATAGTCACTCTACTTCGCTCATTCTCAAGTTTCCATCTCACCGAGATATTTGACCAATCACATTGATCTTATTCATTGGTGAATCAAAGAACCAATAAAACCAATCACATTGATCTTATTCATTGGTGAATCAAAGAACCAATAAAATCATGGAGAGATATACATAATCCTTTCAAAGAATTTAGATGAAGTACACAACAATCAAGTAGAATTTAATCCTCCACACGGTCATGCTATAAAATTAAACTTGACACGTGATTCATGAAATATATTCCAAGTGTACTAGTGTTACATTTAACTATTTATGTGATAAGGACAAATTGCAAACTCAAATAATGAATCAGTCAACACTACGACCTTCTAGTACAAGGTGCCGACCCTTATACATTGGTTTTGAACATATTATTTATGATCAAAATATAAGTTGTGTCATACTTACTTCTCAACGTAAGTATCCAACTTATATTATTTCAAGTGATCATAAGCACTTTAATTTGCGTGCCCAATAAATAAATGCAATAAATAAATAAAATCACAATTTATTTATTATAAATTATTATTTTATCATAACAAAATATGCTATATGGACACGTAATCCAAGTGCATCGATATATGTATACACGCCATACAATACAAGTGATGATGCTATTCTAAGATTTTTCATAACACTCTTGCTCGACTCCTATTTCTGGAAACTTGTTAGTTTCCCAATTGTTATTGCTCCCAGTGGCTCTGGAAAGTAAGCCTGAGTCTTAGCTGAGAATTCTTGTGCAACAAAACGCATATTAGGCCGCGACTCTGGTGAGGCCCGTGTGCATGCTAATGCAACGGTTACTACTAACACCACTCCGTCTGCTATTTGGCCAGTTGGAGGTGAAAGCCGTTGGTCGAGCAAATCTTTCAAAAACAAATCGGAATTACTTTGCAATGCTGCTGTTGTTGTTGAGGATGATAAAGAAGATATGAACTCTCCCGGGTGCCGTCCCATCATTATTTCCAATGCCACCACTCCGAAGCTGTAAACATCACATTTCTCTGTAACCTTCATTGTAAGTGCTAGCTCTGCATTTCCAAAAAAGTAACTTGTTACCTTGTCTCAAAACACAGGTAGAGAAAAATATTCATAGAAAAAGAAGCTATATACTTCCAAAGGGAGAGCAGATAAACTAAAGCTGAATAAGGAATGGGCAGTGGCCAAGATACATATAATAGTACTAAATTACCAGGTGCCATGTATCCATAAGAACCAGCAACTGTGGTCCAATTGGATGAATCCGAAATCAGTAGCTTTGCTGTGCCAAAATCTGAGAGCCGTGGCTCAAATTCTGACTCAAGTAGAATATTGTTTACTGATACATCCCGGTGGACAATAGGCGGAGAGCAGTCTTGGTGCAAGTAAGCCAGTGCATGAGCCACTCCTCGGACGATTTTCAGCCTCATAGCCCAGCCTAGTTCAAATGCCTCCATATCATCATGCAAAACTTTCCCCAAGCTACCCCTTTCTATGTACTCGTAGACCAAGTACATGAACCCTCGCCTGGAACAAAATCCATAGAACTTGATTATGTTCCGATGCCGTATTTCTGTCAACGTTCGAATCTCATTCTCGAAACTACGAAGATTTGCCATCTGTACATCACTTGAGTCTGACATGTTGAGCTTTTTAACTGCTACAATCTGCCCAGTTGTCAAAACTGCCCTATAAACACTTCCAAATCCTCCACTTCCAATGCAGTATTTATCACTAAAATTTTCAGTTGCTTTGACAATATCTCCAATTGTAAATTTTCCTCCTTTTTCCCAAATGAGAGATTCCAAATCCTCAAATTCTGGCGCGGTTTTGGTTTCGTCATTATTTCGCTTGGTTTTCGACCGAAAGATGATACATCCAACAATAGCGATTGCCAAAATTATGAGGCTGACAACAGGAACAATTACAGCTATAAGGATTTTTTGATCATTATTCTGTGACTTGGAAGTCGAAGAGACAACCACATCACAAGGAGATAACCCGTTTGCATTTCCACACAGACCAGAGTTCTCCATAAAAGCTTCTCCTGGTGCTTTCCTGAATGAATCACTAGTCGGGATTGGACCCGACAAGTAATTGAAGGAGAAATCCATGATTCTCAGACTGACCATCGAAGATAATGCTGAAGGGATTCTACCTGAAATCTTGTTATGTGACAGGTTAAGATTCTCCAAAGAGGTAAGCTTTCCCAAATTTGGAGGAATTGTTCCTGAAAGTGAATTATTACTAAGGTCCAACAAGTATCGCAACCCGTTTAAGTTGCCAAGTTCTGACGGGATATTGCCTGATAAAAGGTTGTTGCTAAAGTTCAAGAACTGCAAGCTCTCACAATTGCCAAGATCTTCTGGGATGTCTCCTTCTATTTTGTTTGCTGACAAATCAAGATATTGAAGCTCTGTTAAGCGTCCAATAGATCGAGGAATTTCTCCAGTCAACTGATTGTTGCTCAGATTGAGATTGAGCAGTTCAGTTAAATTTCCCAATCCAACAGGAATTTCACCTATCAATTCATTCGAATCCAGAGTTAGGACTCGCAACTCTGTCAAATTGCCTAGCTCAGCTGGAATCACTCCAGAAATTTTATTTCGATCCATCTGAAGATTTGTAAGACTTTCATATTGTCCCCACCTAATTGAAAGTTGGCCTGTAAATTGATTTCTGCTGAGAGAGAGGAACTCGAGATTCGGATGAACTCCAAATGCCTCAGAAATATTCCCAGAAAATCGGTTGCCTTCAAGCCGTACTCTATTGAGGCTCGAGCAATTCTTCAGGCAACCTGGTAACCTTCCAGTAAAACTGTTGTTATTCACTGTAAATTGATTAAGAAGAAAGCCACTGCACAATCCAGAAGGCAGTTCACCCGAGAAGCTATTATTTGAAAAACTAACATTGGCCAATTTGGGACTATTCTTTCCCAAGTCAAGGGGAATGATTCCTGAAAACCCATTAGAGAACAGAGAAAGAGTTTGCAGGGCACTGAGGTTCGAGATAGACTCTGGCAACTGCCCACTTAATTGGTTCGTGCTTACATCAAACATCTCTAGTGATGTTAGGTCTCCAATCGTAGGTGGAACAGTTCCAGTAAGACTGTTGGAGAAAAGGTTTAGGATCAGTAAATTTGTTAGGTTTTTGATTGTTGGAGGTATTATGCCTGAAAGCCGGTTCCTTGAAAGGTCCATCTGCATCAAATTTTTCAGGTTTCCAATCTCGAGAGGGATGGAGCCTGAAAATGTATTGTTGTATAGAAAAAGATAATTGACATCTGTCAGTAAACCTATTTCGGATGGAATTTCCCCGGTGAAAAGATTATTTTGAAGCTGCAATGATGTTAGTTGGGTCCAATTTGAGATGAAAAAAGGTGAAACATCGCCTGATAGATTATTATCCGATAAACCCAACTCTATCAACTTGGTGAGATTCGACAAGGACAAAGGCAAGGAATCAGTAAGCGAATTTATGGCAAAAGACAAATAGGTAAGGTTGGTGCACAAGCCGAGCTCAGAAGGAATTGTGGAATTCAGGCCATTCATTCGCAAATCTAGTTTCTGTAGATTCTTGAGTTGTCCTAAAGAAGAGGGGATCTTTCCTTCAAATGAATTGTTAAACAGTTCAAGAATTTCGAGATTAGGCATCAAGTTGAAAATATCAGGTATTGAGCCAGAAAGTTCGTTGTTTGCTAAGCCAAGATCTTTCAACTTTGACAGTTTGGTAGGATTTGATGACAATGGCCCTTGAAAGGAATTGGTAGAAAGGTTCAGATGTTCAAGCTTGCCTAGATTGACGAATAATGATTCGGGAATTAGTCCGGTGAAGTGGTTTAGAGACAAATCAAGATAAGTAAGGTTCCGGCAGCCAAGTATAAAATTTGGAAATCCTGAGGTGATTTCGTTGTAATAAAAGCTGAGATGTGTCAATAAAGGGAAGCTTGTGATTTTAGACCATTCGGGACTCACCAAGAAATTCGATCCAAAATCCATATGTTGTACCTTTTGAAGCTTCCCAATTTGATATGGAACTCGACCATTGAGATTGTTGTTGTAGAAACTAATGAATTGAAGCTGTGTCAAATTTCCTATCTCCATTGGAATGATGTCCTCCAATACATTGTTACTCAAGTCCAAGGAATTGATATTGGAGATGCTGCCAATACTAGATGGTATCGACCCGCTGAAATTATTAAAACTAAGGTCGAGTCTCGTCAGATTTGGAAACGAAGTAAAATCAAGCTGGTCAAGGGTGCCAGAGAGGCTTGCATTGGATAAGTTTATCTCAGAAACCGATCCCCCGTTGTTGCAGATAATTCCTGTCCATCTGCAAAGATTTCGAAGATTTCTGAGGGACCATGAATTCAGAGGAGTAGAAGACAAGCTGTTCTTCCACTTCACAAGAGCCTCTGCTTCTGTTCTTGCAGACACGATCTTCAGTGGATGTAAAGAGATAAGCAGAAACTGAAGAAAGAAAAAGGCTCTATGAGATGTTTTCATGGCTACAAATTCTTACGGTAAATTCATATTTCTTCACTTCTTCCTTTATAAGCAGGAATCTATCGCTGCTCAACAGCGATAATAAAGATTTTGATGTGACACAATGAAATATATAGCAAATTCTTAGTATGAACAGATAAAGAAAGTCTGAATTGTTTGTCCTAACTGATGCTCGAATGGTCAATAACTACTCTTGTTTCAAACCATATATTGTTTTCATGAAAATGTTTCTTGTACGTACTTATTTACGTAATGTTTTACATATTGATGAGGCGTCAAAATGTAAATGGGGAAGTTATTTGATTGATAAGATTTTAATTTAATTAAATTTCGCCACATTATCTGTTGGTAAACTATTGTGTAAGTTATTATGTATATGTAGCACAACCATTGTTTCAACCTATACTTGTTGTAAGAAAATTTAATGCTTTGGAAATTATTTTATTTCTTTTGAAAAGGCCATGTTTTTATAGCGTTATCTCTACGCGTATGCAGATTCTGGGAAACAGCTAAGAATTGCTTTAACTTTGAATTTGAGGAAATTGTCAAAGTTGCACCAAGTTGGGGCTTTCAATATAAAGTGACAGCGATGGAAGTTGGGATGAAGAAGAGGAATGGGATTGTGGGAAAGGGACATGAGATGAGGGGTAGGATCGGAGGAGTTGACCTCACCTGCTACCCTCAAAAGTTTGACTGTTTCAGATTCCAACAAAGGTATGGAGAGTAGACAAAATAATTTAGCTTTTGTCACCAAACTTTTGCTTATTTTTATCTGTCTGACGCCTTGACTTTTCGATCTAATAACTTTTTAATTTTTCTAACTAATAATAATAGTAAAAAAAGAAAATAAAATAAACATGCAAGAAGTTATGTCACGTCTGATTTGATTCTCATTATTTTTAAAAATATTTTTTTTAATTTTCAACCACACATTTTTTCAATAAAATAATATTATACTTGAACTCAAAACTTTTTCTTATTTTTAATCACACATTCTACATGAAATTACTATTCTAAAATGCTTTTTTTTGCGAAAAATTGGGCTCAGACATGCTACTAGTGTTATAAGTGCATGGTGGGTAGTTCATTAGTCCCTCCCCGACGCAAGCTTTCTGTCGAGTAAGCGAAGTTAGCATTGGACGTCACATTTTTAAGTCACGTTTGGCAAACCCCAAAACGTGAGTCAAACCATTTTACACATAGAACTAACCCTTTTAATTTTCATGAAGATCCCTTACTCAATTTAGTTCAATGTCATTACTATTTCTATTCCTATATACATACAAGTTTGTACATTCTCGTCCAATTTATTCTTCGAAAAATTCATTCAAATCCTATTATATCAGTATCGAAAGAGATGTAAAGAACCTATGCCACTCTCTTATAAGCTATAAATATAATGGTTCTCATAATGAGAGTCACAATCTCCTTGAATAAAGTTTCTTTATCTCCTATAATGGAATTATATAAAATTACCAAAAATGTTTAATCGGACACTTGGTGAAGTGCAAAAAATATAGTGCTAATTTTTGCTAACAGTATTCTCATGAGAATATTGACTATCACTTGGTTGCCTATCAATAAACTTAATTAATTAGTCCACTAAACCTTAAACTTAATTATTTACTCCACTAAATTAAGTCTTACTGACTAATCAGTACCATGGTCGAAAAATTGTTGTTTAAATTTTTTTATTCATGTCAAAAGGCTGTTTGATTACATGTTAATTATAGCCTAACCGTTGTATTTGGGTTGTAATATAACATCATTTCTATAAGAAAATAATTTGTCATATCGAGATGGTGTGATAGTATTTTTTACCTGAATGGTTGGCTTTCTTTTCTAACACAATTGGGAAAATGGGACGGGGACGGGGACGGGGACGAGGACGGGGAGAGACTCATTGCCCCGAAGTGGGTAAGGGGCGGGTACGGTAATTATAGTCCCCGTCCCGCTACCCGTCCTATTTAAAGTTAATTTTAAATTAAAGATTTTAATCAAACAAAAATAATATATTTATCATATTTTTAAAGAGAACATAAGTCGTTTATAACAAATTGGTAAAAAAGTAACAATATTTACTAAGTAAAAACATAAAAAAAATAAAAAATAAAAGCAAAAAATAAAATAAATAAAAAATAAAATGAAACAATAAATGGGACGATAAATGGGGCAGGGGGGACCTACCGCGCCCCGACCCCATCCCGTCCTGCTTTAAACGGGTATGAGGATGGACAAGGTAACAAAAATATCCGATGGGACGGGGATGGAAATGGTCGACCCGTCCCATACCCGACCCATTGTCCTCCCTAATTTGGGTTGTAATATTACATCATTTCTATAAGAAAATAATTTGTTGTATCAAGATGATGTGATAATATCTTTTACTTGAATGATTGGCCTTCTTTTCTAACACAAAGGAAGAGTCTAACGAAATAACTATGGGCTATTAAGAACTTTGAAAAGACAATATGTGCAGCTGGTCAAATAACATATAAATCATAAATGGGCAATAGTCATAGTCGACGGCTCACCATGGTATTCTTCATAAATGATCATTGGAAAAGAGTACACTGGTTGTTTGGTTTGCTGTTTTCACTATTCAACTT